AGCCCTGCCCCTTCCTCAGCTGCGTGGACCCCACGGCCCCCCAGACCCTGCAGGCTGTGCCCCCGGCCCAGCAGCTGCCGGGGGGGGCTCACAGGCCCCCGCAGGTTTGGGGCAGGACGTGTAGATTGATGCACTTTTGCTTTTTTTACTCTTTCCTCCCCCGAGGAGGGTGGCAGCTCCTGTACCCCTGGGTGCTGGGGGCAGTCGCTCTGAGCACAGTGGGAGTTGGACCCTCCCCCAGGGTCCCCCCTCCTGGCTGAGGCCCCGTTACCCCCCTCAGCCAAACTCCACTGCACATTTTCTGCTTCCCATGGGGCTGTGCTGGCCAGGGGGCCCCAGGGGGGATCCCAGGGGGCTGCTGGAGCCCCGGCCCGGGGTCACGGCTCGCACACAAGCACTACAGCCCCTCCGGGCACCGCAGCCCCTTCTATTTTTGTATTCTTTGTAAATCGCTATTTATATCGGATTTGCCTTTTCTGAGGTCTCCGAGTCTCATTCTGGGGGTCTCAGGGGAGCTGTGGGTGCCAAAGGGTGTGTGTGGGGGTGGGCGTACGTGTGTGTGAGTTAATTCCCAGTACAGCATGTGGGGGTGTAGGCAGTGCTGGGCTGCCCAGTATGAGACTGGGATGTACTGGGCAGAGCCCGGGGGAGGGATGGGGGACGTGGAGACTGGGGTGGGGACAAGTTCAGCAAGAAATGGGAGGGCTTGGAGGGGCAGGGGGAACTCATCAGTGGGCACAGGGCAGTGAAGGGTGGGGTGGCAGTTCAGGGGTCTGAGACTCCCAGACTGATGGAATCCAGGCTGGACGGGACCTCCAGATCAAGTGCTGGGTCTTGCACTTGGGCCACAGCATCTCCATGGAATGCTGCAGGCGTGGGGGGAGCAGCTGGACCGTGCCCATCAGGACGGGACGGAGGTTGACAGCGGCTGAACATGAGCCAGCGTGTGCCCGGGTGGCCACCCGGCTTCTGCCAGCACTAGCGTGGCCAGCAGGACCAGGGCAGGGCTCTCCTCCCAGGGAACAAGTGGCAGAACAAGAGGAATCTGCCTCAAACTGTGCCAGGGGAGCCTTATTTTAGCTGAAAGTGCTGTCAGGGTGTCCCAGCCCAGGGCAGGGTCCCCATCCCTGGGGGGTTTCCAAGCCCTGTGGATGTGGTGCTGCGGGACGTGGGGCAGTGGGGCCTGGGCAGGGCTGGGGACGGGGATC